GTTTTCTGGTGGTTTATTGGAGATAGGAGTCTCATGGTCTCTCCTGCCTGGGCTGGCTTTGAACCACGATCCTCAGATCTCAGCCTCCTGAGTAGTAGGATTACAGGTGTGAGCCACCAGTGCCCAGCTTCTGTATCTTATTTTTTGAACTTGTCTTGTCTCACTCAATATATGAGTGTCCTCCAGTTGCATTTATTTTCCTAGAAATAACATTCCATTTTTCTTCATGCCTGTGTAATATCTCATAGTGTATATACACATCACATCTTTATCCATTCATGTGTTGTTGGGCACCTCACTTGATCCAATCATATGGGTATTGTGAATAGTGCTTCAGTATACTTGGTTAGAGTCTGTAAGGTCTCATAAAGCACAGGTTCATATTGTCTGCAAATAGGGATAATTTGATTTCTTCTTTCACTATTTGAATCACTTTTATTTCTTTTTCTCACCTTATTGCTCTGGCTAGGAATTTTAACACAACATTGAATAAGAGCAGGGAAAGTGGACAGCATCCTTTGTCTTGTTCCTGACTTTCGGAGAAATTATTTCAGTTTTCCCCCACTAAATATGATGCTAGCTGTAGCGTTGTCATTTGTACTTTATTTATTTATTTATTTTTTTAAACTAGGGCTGAGAACCGAACCCACGGCCTTGCGCGCCCCAGGCGGGCGCGCTTCCGCTGGGCTAAACCCCCAGCCCCGAGAGTAATGTTTTTATTTATTTATTTATTTTTGGTCGGTCGTGGGGCTTGAACTCTGGGCCTGGGCGCTGTCCCTCAGCTCTTCAGCTCAAGGCGAGCGCTCTACCACTTGAGCTACAGCGCCACTTCCATCATTTGTACTTTAAGTTAAGATATGTCTCTTCTATTCCTAACTTCTTCAGAGCTCTTACAATAAAAAATGTTGAATTTTATCAAAGGTTTTCTACAGATACTGATTCAATTATATAGTTTTTACTCTGTGTCCTATTATGTGATTTATTTGTGTATGTTGAACCTTCCTTTCACATTTCTTAATTGTGATACATGATTTTTTAAAATACATATACTGTTGAATTCTGTTTGCAAAGATTTTACTGAGACTTACTGTTCATCAAGATAAGTCTACAATACTGTCTCTGTTATATCTCTGATTTTGAGATGAGTGTAATAGTTGCTTCATAGCGTGAATTTCATAGCATTCCTTCTTTTTCTATTTCATGGAAGAGTTTGAAGAATACTGTTAGCTCTTTTTTAAAGGCCTAGTCAAATTTGGCTGTGAATCCATCTGTCCCTGAGCTTTTCTTAGGAGACTATTAGTGCTTCAGTCTCATTGCTTGTTAAAGCTTTATTTAAGGGCCAGGCACTGGTGGCTCACGCCTGTAATCCTAGCTACTTAGGAGGCTGAGATCTGAGGATCATAGTTCAAAGCCAACCCGGGCAAGAAAGTCTGTGAAACTCTTATATCCAATAAACTACCAGAAAACTGGAAGTGGCGCTGTAGCTCAAGTAGTAGAGCGCTCACCTTGAGCTGAAGAGCTGAGGGACAGTGCTCAGGCCCAGAGTTCAAGCCCCACAACTGACACACACACAAAAAGCTTTATTTAAGAAGTTTATATCTTGTTGGCTCACTTTTGGCGGGTCAACTATATATCTTAGAATAAGTAAATACTAACTATAAATGAATTTATTACTGTAATTGCTTTTTTTAAATCAACAATATCCTATAGAACTTTTTTTTTATAATTAAACCATTACTGACCAGATTCAATTAAAAACATCTTGCTGAGCATTGGTGGCTCATACCTGTGATTCTAGCTACTTAGGAGGCTGAATTCTGAGGATTGTGGTTTGTAGCCAGCCTGGGCAGGAAAGTTCATGAGAATTTTATCTCCAGTTAACCACCAGAAAGCAAGAAGTGGACCTGTGCCTCAAGTGGTAGAATGTTAACCTTGAGAGAAAAGCTCAAGGACACCCAGGCCCTATATTCAAGCTCTAGTTTGGGAAATTCCCCCCTCCCCGAAAAAAAATGATTTGAGCTTTAGTGTTGAAGCTAAGTCAAATCAAGTTCTGCATTAAAGCTTGTATTCCTTGTATTCTCTTTATTCCCAATTCCAAATTTCACTGTTCCAAGAGTTAAGTGTAGAGATTAATTACATTTAATAATACAGTTCTGTCTATTAGTGGGTAACTCAAATTTCTTTCCCTCATTATTTCCCTCAATTATTAAACTGTTGCACATGAGGTATGTGCCTGTAATTCCAGCATTGGGGAAGCAAAGGCGGAAGGATCACAAGTTCAAGGCCAGCCTAGGCTACATAGTAGAACTCTACCTCAAAAATTTCAAAACCAACTGGGCACCGGTGGCTCACGCCTGTAATCCTAGCTACTTAGGAGGCTGAGATCTGAGGATCACAGTTCAAAGTCAGTCCAGGCAGGAAAGAAAGTCCGTGAGACTCTTATCTCCAATAAACCACCAGAAAACCAGAAGTAGTGCTGTGGCTCAAGCAGTAGAGCGCTAGCCTTGAGCTGAAGAGCTGAGGGATAGCACCCAGGCCCAGAGTTCAAGCCCCACAACCAACAACAAAAAAAAAAATTCAAAACCAAACAAGCAAAACATACTTCTTACTGGTTTTACTGATCTCAGGCTTTACTTTAACCAGTCTGGTGACCCATTTGTTTCCATTGACTTTCCTGGCTTTAACCAGTCTGGTGACCCATTTGTTTCCATTGACTTTCCTGGTAGTTTACAGTGAGGACAGCTAGAAAGTAGTGCTGAGTAATATAAACATACCAGCCATAAAGCTTTTGATCATAAGGTGAAGAAGCCTGATAGTCTCAAGAAAACATTTGCGAGAGAACGACAACAACTAAGGGAGAAGAGTGCCTTCATCTTTTACCCGATTCCCAAGGTAAAGACTGTCTACTGCAAGAAGTGCCAAACTGGTGACCTATGCTATATGCAGTCCAAATAGGTATGTTTTCACATTGTGCTATATCTCCCTCTTTTTTTAACAAAGGGGCAAACATTTTCAAGTTGCCAGATTTTACAGTAGAGACGTGCTCTTTCTCCTAAAAAATGAAAATATCTGTTAATAATGGGCCTACATACCTGACAGCTACTGCCTCCTTGGTTTGGTGTATGCAGTATTGGGGACAGAGGCAGGAGTTAGGAGTTTGAGGCAAGACTTGTCTGAATCTCTAGACCTTGTCTTAAAAAAAGAATCCCCAAAGGCAGAAGAAAAAATATTTGTCATTTTATATATTGTTTCATAGTATGGTGTCTTGTAATCATAATCTCAAGCAATAGGTAGTATTATATACCAGGAAATGAGGACAAGTCTCACAGCTAATAAACAGTACAATTCAAATTCTGGAGTTTTTCCAAAACTCTTGTTCTTTCCATTGTAATGTATTGTTTCTCTCTCTCAGTTCCAGGAATTTAATTTAAAATGCTTAAATTATATACTTGGTCTCCAACAAATATACTCACACTTTAAAGACAAGAGAAAACATTTTTATCATAACATGTATTGCCATTTTTGTAGCAAGCACTAATAGTTCCTTTTAATTCCCCATTTAGTTGATTTTGCTGCATGATAGTTAATAAAATCTGTATGGTATTCTTAGCTGTCTGTCTCTATTAATCTAATTGTATTTATACTATTTCTAACCCTTACTAACCATATATTCCTTTCTAAGTGGCAATAGAGGCATTTATTAACTTCTAATTTTTATTCAGATAGCATTTTTTGTATGCATTTCTGATCAAAAATCCTGGGGGAAATTCCAAAGGACAGTGTCTCTGTCTTCAGAAACTATAGTCTTAAAAGAAAAAACTAGAGAGAGTTATGTTTAGCAAGCAACACCTATAACAGATTAAATTTACAAAAAAGGGGCAAGGAGCAATAGATAAGAATAATTACGTTAGGCGTTGGTGGCTCATGCCTGTAAACCTAGCTACTCAGGAGACTGAGATCTGAGGATCACAGTTCAAAGCTAGCCTGTGCAGAAAAGTCTGTGAGACTCTTATCTCCACTTAACCACCAGAAAACCGGAAGTGGCATTGTAGCTCAAGTGGTAGAGTGCTAGTCTTAAGCTAAAGGGCTCAGGGACAATGCTCAGCCCAGAGTTCAAGCTCCACAACCAACTCCCCCACCCCCCAAAAAAAGAATAGTTGTATAAGGAAGATATTTAGTAGTAGGTGATCATTTAATTACTATCAAAGTCCAGCTATGCTAAATATACAAGAAAACAATGCCCACTCATATTCAAAAGTAATAGAGATATACATCATGTGGTATTTAGACCATAGTGTGGGAGGTTTTAGCCTTAGATCAAACCCTGAGGCCAAGTCCATTGTGAGTAATAACAATATAAATAACTTGAACTTCTCACCCATAACACACAACTTTTAATCTGACTAAAAAACAATGCAGACATTTTGCAAGTAATTTGTCTTTCTTTTCATAGCTGGTATTATATAAACTATTGAATTACTGGATTTTGTTCTCTTCTTAGGTACCACAAGTCATTATTAGAAATCTTGAGATTGCATCAGCCTCTGGTTGATAGTTGCATTTTCAGATTGGTTCACTACTATTTTCATACAGTGCCAAGCAAGATGCCAATTGTTTAGACATTTCCTGTGCTTTTGTACTTAGTTTCTTTCGTTCTCTTCCCCTTTTGTATTCTTTTGTAACCATTTATAATCACTAACAAGTATCAAGCCTTTCTGTATGTAGATCCTTGGAATGCTAAAGACAGGGATAGGTGAAATGGAGTTAGGGGTTTTAGATTTTGCATGAATAAGAGACAATCTCATGTTTAGTATTGTAAAACACATGGCAAATACTGATTTGATTCTAGACATTTATTCATTCATTTATTTTTATGCTAGTCTTGGTGCTTGAACTCATGGCCTGGATACTATCTGTCCCTGAGATTCTTTGCTCAAGGCTAGTGCTCTACCACTTGAGCCATAACTTCTTTTTGTTTATTTGTTTGCTTGCTTATTGTTTTTGTTGGTCCTGGGGCTTGAACTCTGGGCCTGGGTGCTGTCCTTGAGCTCGTCAGTGCAAAGCAAGCCCTCTACCACTTGAGCCACAGTGCCAGTTCCCACTTTTGGTATGCTGGTAGGTAGTTTGAAATGAGAATCTCATAGACTTTTCTTCTCCAGGCTGGCTTCTGATGTGATCCTCAGATCTCAGCCTCCTGAGTCTAGGATAACTGGCATGAGCTATTGGTGCTTGGTTGTTCACTCTCAACTTTTTGCTAGTGAGAGATGAGAGTAAGGACTTTCTTGCCTAACTGGCTTCACTGGGATCCTCAGATTGAAGGCTATTAGTAACTAGGATTAGAGGTGTGTGAACCATCAGCACCTGGCTGGTTTTTCATTTTGTTTTGTTGCTTTTTACTATTGACTACTTGTAGGTATTTCTTATTTTAGAGATTAACCCCATACTGGCTTTTTACTCTACTGATAGTTTCCTTTGCTGTGCAGCACTTTCTAGTTTAGAGGTCCTGTTTTGATGTATTATTAATAATTAGGTTGATCAGGTAGCGCTGTGGGTATGGTTTTTGTCTAATCAACCAAATTCTCTTTTCAACAGTTCACAGTCAACAGTTAGAGCAATGTTTATTACTAAATAATTTCTTTAGTATTTTTCTATTGCATCCTTCCTGGCATTATAGAAATGTGTTAACTTGAACAAATAAATTATTAATTATGGAAAAAGGTATCCTCAAGGAAATAGTAAGTTACTTTGTCCTACAGTGTTTTAGAATACATCTTTATAATATCACTTTTTCTGTATGCCTAATATATAACAAAACAACTACATATGAAAATAAAATAAAACTTCTTTAGCTATTTTTTGTCTTATTTTTTATTATAACGTTAACATGAATCTACTTTTGTACAATCATACAAAAATACATGTTACTTAACTTTTATGTTTCAACAGAAGGAGAATATATTAAAATGTTTATGCGAGGTCGGCCAATTACGATGTTCATTCCTTCTGATGTTGACAACTATGATGACATCAGAACAGAACTTCCTCCTGAGAAGCTTAAACTGGAGTGGGCGTATCCTTCTCTACCAAGACAACAAACCTATTTGCTTTGTCTTTAGAAGAAAAATTGGTTTCCAGCCTTTATATCTGACAGTAAAATAAACATAGCTACTTGATAAATTTAAAAGCTAGCTCTAATCTTCTTTACATGCTACATATATTTTGCTACTAGCAACTTAAATTCATCAAAAGTAATTCATAAAGGTCAAGCAGCATTCTTTGAACATCACAGCTGATAATGGTGTGGTAGAAAAGGTACTGGACTAGAATTGAAAGTCTAGTGGTTGAGTTAGGGTCCTAATGGTTATCCTTTATAAACCTTAACTTTCTCCACTTGTATAAGAGGTCAGTAACTGGCTTATAGAGCTGTTGTAAGACTTTAATGAGAAAATAACTAAATATATGGCTCAATGATAGAATGTACGTAAACAAAAGGCCCCGAGTTCAAATCCTATCATCTCTCCCTTTCAATTTATTTTCATTAAGCATTGTATAACCTGTGAAATAATGTATAATGTAAATCATTTTATTAAGAGCTTAAATTAATGAAGCTAACTCTATTTCCCTTATTCTCTGCTGGACATTGTTTTAAATAGCAATTTAATACAGAGCTTTTCTAGTTTCACCTACAAACTGTCACTTAATAATCTCTTAAAAAAAACCTCTGAAACAAAAGCTAATAGTGTGACTTCGGCTCTCACCTGCCATTTTTCTTTCAACCTCCTCTTCAGACTCCTTAAAATTCTTTGCAGTAGGGCTGGGAAGGTGGCTCAGTGGTAGAGCGCTTGCCTTGCAAGCCAGAGGCCCTGGGTTCTATTCCTCAGCACCACATAAGCAAAAAGCAAAAAGCCAGAAGTGGCGCTGTGGCTCAAGTGGTAGAGTGCTAGCCTTGAGCTGAAGAGCTGAGGGACAGTGCCCAGGCCCAGAGTTCAGGCCTCACGACTGGACCCAAAAAAAAAAAAAATTCTTTGCAGTAGACAGAAATCAACTTGGAAAAACTCACCAATCCTATGATTTGTTACAGCATCAACAAAAATGTCACTTTTCTCAGATGGACTTAATTTTACTCCTTTTTTCATCTAAAGTAGTCACTGTTTATGCTTCCTCTTAGCATCCCATTCAATTTATTCTTTTTAGTTTTTTATTATTAAATTTCCTTTTATCAAGCTTTTTTTTTTTTTTTTGTCAGTCATGGGCTTGATCTGGGGGCCTAGGCTTGCTTTCCCTGAGTTTATTCACACAATGCTCTCACTCTACCACTGAATCACAGCACCACTTCCTGTTTTCTAGTGGTTAGTTGAAGATAACAGTCTCACCAGCTTTCTTGCTGGGCCTAGCTTCAAACTCGATCCTTAGATTTCAGCCTCCTGAATAGCTAGGATTTTAGATGTGAGCCGCCAGTACCCAGGTTTATTTTTATTTTTTAATAGTTATGTAAAGAGGTTTCAGTTGAACATGTCAGTGTATAATGCAGTGTATCTTGATCAGTTTCATCCCTTTCATCATCATCCCCCTTCTATCCCATTCCCTTACCTAGTTTCATTTTCATTTATGTACAGTATTAACTGTATTTCTCACCTCTACTCCTTTCAAGCATTAACCCTCGCCACCTGACATAAAACAGGTCTTACCATGAGAATCCACACTTGTATATCATATGGTAGTCAGTTTGATTGTATATAAATGAAAAGTATATATTCATATATTTTCGTGTTTTTAACTTCCACATGAGAGAAACATACACCTATTGTCTCTCGGAGCTTAACTTACATTGCTTAACAGAATTTTTCCAGTCCCATCCATTTTGCCTGCCAATGACATTTTGAATGGATAAATAAAATCTTTGTGTATGCATGTGCTTGCATGCACTCATGTACACATCTTCTTACTCTATTTTAGGGCATCTCGGTTGTTTATATAATTTGAATCAATTAATTTTCTTTCCATGTTCATAATAACCTATTTGAAGATTATTTTTGTCTTCTCCCAGAACATAGACCTCACATTTGCTTTGCTGAGAACTATGTTCAGCACTATACCTGATACCTATTAGATTATGAATTCAGTATATATTTGTCTGATGAATGAAAAAACTGACACAAACATAATGAAAGACTCAGAATTGGACAGTGATAATCGTGGGATGAGTTTTCTAGTTCTAGTCCAGTAATATTTTCATTATACCTTGCTGATACCCTTTTAAAAATAGCTTAACAACCTGAATAGTTGTTAAAAACCTTAACGTTTTTCTTTTAAGATATGGTTACCGAGGAAAGGACTGCCGAGCTAATGTTTACCTTCTTCCTACGGGGGAAATAGTTTATTTCATTGCTTCAGTAGTAGTACTATTTAATTATGAGGAGAGAACTCAACGACACTACCTGGGTCATACAGACTGTGTGAAATGGTTGGTATCATGTAACACATTCAGTTTTGCTCTCTTGTATCTTCATTTTCTATTTTTAAAATTTGAATTGTACTACAAATGTTTCCTTGTGGAAAACTCAGAATATAAGGATATTATAAGTGTTCAGTAAAATATACGTTAAAAAAAGAAAAGGTCTTATAATCTTTTAATATGGTAGGTGTAATAGTGGCAGCAATTAAATATATATTCCGCTATAGATTGCAGTTGGAATCTCCTCTGCTTTCTCAAATCTTTTTAAGTCTTTTCCTTTCTATAATATGAAATACATATATAACATTTTTTATGGGTTTCTGAGTATGTTCTTATGCACATGACTTTTAAACTGGAAGCTTTACTGGGGGGGGAAGGTCATGGCTGAATAGGATCATAAGTATCCCATAAGGTACCTTTTTAATGTTTAGACTCATGATTATTAGGATATTGTACAAATATTGTTGAACTCTTAGAAATGATTAAAATATTTAATATTGCAGATTAATATATGTACAAATTATTGCAACATTCTGATAGTTAGGTTAGCTACAGCCTTACTATTTTTCAGTTGTAGTTAAAAACCACAGGTCAACATGCAGCCATATAAACAGAATAAGAAAGATGATACCTGGCATAGTGGTTCAAGCCTAGAATCCTGACACCCAAGAGTTTATACTAGAGGATTGAAAATTCAAGGCTAAGTCTGAACTACGAAGCAGGAGCCTGTCTCAAAACAAGCAAATACAAAAAAAGAAAAGAACGAGGTATCATGTGTTAATACAGACAAATCCCTAAAATATACTTCCAAGAACATATTAAAGAGCAGGAAAACATTTGTTTTTCTACTGTGTTTGTAAGGAAATTCCAAGTAACAGCCATGGTTGTACATACTTCTAATTCCAGCACTAAGGACACTAAAACGAGATTGAAAATTTGAGCTAGCATTAGCTACATAGAGGGACCAATTCCCCACCCAAAAAACACTAAAAAACAAAATGGGAATAGAAACATTAATCTTATCTTGGCTTTCACTTTTGTTTAAAAAAAAAAGTTCCTAGAATTATTTTAAAACTAATTATACAGTTGCCTTTGGAGGCTTAAGGTATTGGGAAGGGTGAATAAATGAAATATTAGCAGTTAAGACAGGAAGAAAAGAGGCTTTCTCAGTATATTTTTACGATAGTATTGGTATTTGAACCATGAAAAAAAATTACCTCCTTCAGAAATTTGTTTGAAAAGATGTGAGCTAAATATGATGAGATGTTAATATATTAAATTTTTTTGTTACTTTTAATGTAGTTGACCTCTGTGCAGGACATAAAAACTATTGAAGAGGAAAGGGAACTAAGGAAACACTGATAGATTTCTTAATAATCAAAGAAATGTGAGCAAAAAACCATTTATACCAATCAAATTGTAGAAAAAGAAATTTTCATTTGGTCGGTCATGGGACTTGAACTCTGGGCCTGAACAGCTGTCCCATAGCTCTTCAGCTCAAGGCTAGCACTCTACCACTTGAGCCACAACACCACTTCCAGTTTTCTGGTGGTTTATTGAAGATAAGAGTTTCACAATACCTTTCCTGTCTCGGCTGGCTTTGAACAGTGATGCTCAGATTTCAACCTCCTGAGTAGCTAAGATTACTGTTGTGAGCCACCAGTGCCCAGCTAGTAGAAAACTATTTTTGAAGAGAATTTTTTTTTTTGCAGTGCTGGAATTTGAACTTAGGACTTCATTCCTGTTTGGCTAAGATATATATGTATATATGGAGAAACTGGAATATTTTTTATCTCTTCAACACTAATCTAGAAAATAATGAGCGAGACATACTTCAGAATGAAAAGTTACATTTTCAGTTATTCTACCATTTGTTTGCAAGATACAGAAAGATTCTAATATGGACAGGAAGACTTTTTTTTTCATTTTGTTTTGTTTTTGCTAATCAGTTGTATGTTTATCATGGTCAGTTTGAGTACATTTCACTATTTTGCATTTTTATTTAAAAATTTCATGCCATAAATTTGATTCAAGAGTTTAGGATTAAAAATGTATTAAGCCATATGTGACGATACATGCCCATAATCCCAGCTACTTGGGAGGCAGTAAGTTAACACATAGGGATTTACATCTGTAATCCTAGCTATTTAGGGATCATGGGTAGAAAGATCTGTCTGAGGCTAGTCCCAGTCAAAAAGTATAGGACCCTATCTGAAAAACAAAGCAAGAGATTAGGGGAACCATTTCAATGACCTATCTAGTCATTGTTAGAGTTTAAACCCTAGTACTGCTCCCCACTATCTGCAACCCTCCACCCCCACCAAGTGTTAACTAATTAAAAGGTTGATGACAAAATATTTGAGGTACTGCTGAGTTAATTTGTAGAAAAAAGAAATGACCTAAAATATTAAGGCATCATTAATTACTAATATGTATAAGGATTATGTAGCAAGATGAAATGATGCATATTTTTAATACTAATAATACCAATATAGTATTACACCTTGAATGAACCACCAAGACACTTGAGCAAATGAAAACAGTTTAATTTGTTGCTATCCAAAGTTGTGGATAAGTATTTGCTTAAAATAAAATATTCCAGTAATTTGTTGATTAAGAAAGGAAAGTATATAGCTTCAGATAATTTAAATTTGTTTAATTTACTAAAGAATATAAATAGGCCAAAGTGAGTTTTTAATAGCTAGAATCTTATTTGTTTGAAAAATGTTGATACAAAGGTACATTTCTGCTGTTTTACATGTTTCCTGTATTTAAAATTATTGTTGATGCTGCCTTTTAGCCTTGCTATACATCCTGACAAAATTAGGATCGCAACTGGACAGATAGCTGGAGTGGATAAAGATGGAAGGGTGAGCAGCACAGTTTTATGCATTCTATATCTAGTGATATTGATATTAGAATGGAATTTATTGTAATTTTAACCGCAACTTACAATTTTCTGTTAAAATTTACTAAAGGATTTCTAGTGTAAGCAAGGAAAACAACATCATTATAGAATGTAAGGGAGTTTTAAAACACAAAAAGAATGTTACTAATTTTTTTTTCTAAAAAGTCTTTTTAAACTATAAAAATAGGAGGAGTAATATTCTGGTTAGATTTTTCTTTACATAGAGTAACTTCTCAATGCTTATCTGAAGTTGCTTCAATTTTCCTTAGTCAGTGAGATCTCTTGATTTGATGTGTATGAGAGCTAATATCACTTAGCTTTTCAGTCACTATTCAATGTTAGTAAATTGGCCTGTAAAACATTTCTTATTTCTAAGATCAGCAGTGAATACTGATGACTTAATTAACCTAAGTATGACTATATTCATGACATTTTCTATGACTTCAGTTTTAAGGCCTATTATTCAAAAATGAAGGGAATGTAAAAAGCAGAGTAGTGAAGCTGTGTGTGGTGGGTGACATCTGTAGTCCCAGCTCTATGAGAGATCAAAAGAGGAGGATCATTTATTTGAGACAAGTCCAGGCAATATAGTGGAATTATTTAAAAAATAATAAAATAGCAATACCAACCAAAAAAAAAAAAAGCATAGTTTCAGAGTAAATTTACCTGGGCTAGGCTTCTGACTACCTTTTTACAACAAGTAAAATTTTGGTCAAGTTTCTTTATCTCAGTTTATTTATATATTAGATGATAGAGTACCTGTAGTTCTTAAGGTTATAAAAATGAAATGATTAGATAACATATGAGATACATAGGATAGTATGTGAAATGTAAATGTGCAAATTAGTTGATGCTACTCTTACCACATATTTCCTTTAAAAAAAATCAAAGTTCTTTAAGTATGATTAGATATTTATCAGTCCCTACCATCCCTAAAGACAGTAGACAGTTCTCTGTAGTAGCAGTATGTCTTTACATTTTCCTGAATATCAGTTAGTCCTATTGCCTTGTGTTTTGCAGCCTCTGCAGCCCCATGTCAGGGTGTGGGATTCAGTTAGTCTATGCACATTACAAATTATTGGACTTGGAACTTTTGAGCGTGGAGTAGGATGCCTGGATTTTTCAAAAGCAGTAAGTAACACTTTTTAAAGAAGCAGTCAACATGAACAAAGAATCAGGAAAAAAATAAAAGCTTGGAGTTTTCTCTGTGTGTCTATTGAAAGATTAGGTATTAGCTATTTTTAATATTAGCTGTTGGTAAATGACTAGCATTTTAGCATGAAAACAAGTTTGGTTTTGATAGAATCAAGATACTAATAGTCCAGTGTAATGGTACGAAATGGTTGAAGGAAGATATACATAGCATATTGCAATTTAAAATAAGCAATAGGATGTGTTTTTTAATTAGCTTGAATCATAGAACAGATCTTTTTTTTCCTTCCTCTTTTATTTTTAAGAGACTTCAGCAAAAATAATAATGGCTTTTCTCATTGCCATATTGCAGAGAAAAATAAAGCCTTTTCTTTCCTAAAATCATATCTTGATTCTGAATTGATAACAACATGGGTTTAAAACTTTGTGCCTGACAGTTTCATCTGGACTTTGAAGATTTGTTTTGAGAGGAAAGTAAGATATTTCTAAACATTTTGTTTTTTTGAATTATATGTAATTATGATAAAGTATGAAAACCATCTATATTTTAAATTTTTGTACTTTTAAATTTCAAATATAAGTGCTCCTGGGTTTTATACTTCCAGGTATATTTGTGCATTCATACTATCTCTTCAGTTCTTAATTGTCTGAAGCTGTATTGTGAAATACAGAACAAAAAGATAAATTTGGGTGAATTTAGGAGTTTGCTAGCTTGAAGGCATGGAATATTGAGAGTTGAACAGGAATTAGGAGAAAGGAAGTATTTTCTCTACTTTTACCCCTAAAATCTCTATAGCAGGCATATTATCATGTTACTGTTCTTGTTTCAATATTAAGACTATCTTGAGTTGCCCTATACAAACTTTTTTCCTAATTCAAAATTATTCTGATAAAGTCCAAAAAAATGATACAGCTTTTGGCCTTCTTTGTTACCTCTCTTCACCTCAATGTGTGTACAGAGACATTATGGGGCAGGGACCACACGTGCTACTAGAATATCTACATCATCTTTTTTTAAAAAAAATTTGATAAAGATTTTTTTTATTAGCAGCATATATTAGTTATCCAAGGAGGAGTTCATTGTGACTTTTTTTTTGGGGGGGTGTCACTTGTGGGGCTTGAACTCTGGGCCTGGGCACTGTCCCTCAGCTCTTCAGCTCAAGGCTAGCACTCTACCGCTTGAGCCACAGTGCCACTTCCGGCTTTTTCTGTTTATATGGCGCTGAGGAATCAAACCCAAGGCCCTCATGCATGCAAGGCAAGCTTTCTACCGCTGAGCCACCTTCCCAGCCCCTCATTGTGACATTTCTAGGCATACTTAACAGTATACCCTGATCAAATTTACTCCTATCTCTGTCTCATGATTGTTTTTCTTAAATTTATTCAAATTGTGTGAATGAGAGTGATTACAGAAAAATAAATAGGAAAGGATTTAATGGCTAGGCATAATGGCACATACCAGTAATCCTAGTACTAGGGAGGCTAAGGTAGGGAAATTTGACTTTGAAGCCACCCTGAGAAAATACAGCAAGACACTACCTCAAAAATCAAAAGAAAGTAAGAGATTTAGTTCTATTTTTATTTATTTTGTTACATAAAAATGAAATCAGCAACCTTGAAAATAGCCACTAACTTTAAGCTCGTTTCGTCAAAAGTTATCAAAAATTTCATTGGTAGAAAGTTTGTGAAATAATGTATGTGTCTTTTCACCTATCATTAAGAAATACAGTGTGTGGATATTTTCCAGCAGCAAGAAGAAAGCATAAATTGCTGAAAAGACTAGGAAATCTTCAAAAAGAATTATTTGCCATTGTTCAGTAATATAAGTAGCTAGATCGTAAGTGAAAATCAGCCAAGGAAAAGGGGAACTAAAAATAGAATCCTTTAAACTTTCTCTATATTGCTGGAAGACCAGACCTCACCACAATTTCAATTAGCAGTACCTTCATTATATTTCAGAAAAACAAAATTTAAAGAATTTTTTTATTGTTAACAGTTTTAATAGCATGGTATGTCTTCCTTAGGATGTTAATCTTACTGAATTTTTTAATGCCTTTGACTTTTGTTCAGGATTCAGGTGTTCATCTGTGTGTTATTGATGATTCCAATGAGCATATGCTTACTGTATGGGACTGGCAGAAAAAATCAAAAACTGCAGAAATAAAGGTAAACAGAAAGTTTTGTGTATTCTAGAGTATATTGCTTATTTGGTAGGTAATTAGAGTTATTTTCATATCCTTAAAGTGTAAGAGTAAGCCCACTGGCCAATTTCATCAAATTTCCTGATTTATAAGTACTCTGTGCTTTATATGCTATAATTATAAAGATAAAATAAGCAACTTAAAGCAGTGTCTGTATTTCAGACATATGTTCTGAAATGCCAAAGTAGATGGATGTCTGTCTAATCTCAACATTAAGACTAAACAGTTTACTTGACTTTAATCAAATTTGCGATTTTATTCAATCTTTAAAGGTTTAGCCATCTAGAGGAAAATTTCAGCCTAAGAATATGGCTGACATAACTGAAAAGCATATATAAAATAGAGACCTATTATAAAAAATACTATAGCATTTATAATTGTAATAGAATTAATTTGATTCCTTACTGTGAAATAAATCTATACCTTATAAGAGAAAAATGAAGTTAGCATTGCAGTTGAATTTGATGAGTTCCATAGGATAACAGAATAGCATTGTGTCCTTAAGTAATAGCTGCCCTCTCTTTTAGCTCTGTTATTTTATATTACTTTCAGGATTTCAGCCTTCTGGTCAAAAAGACATTTCAAGAGTAAGTTAATTTTTTGAAACAAGTGGAATAGATTTGATTGTACTTGAAAGGAATATAAATCTTCAAAAAACCTCAAATTAAAAAAAAACAAATGTTCTGGATGTTAGTGGCTCACTTCTATAATCCTAGCTATATTGTAGGCTGAAATCTGAGGATCATGGTTTGAAGCCAGCTAAGCCAGAACTCAAGCAATATAGTACCAGCTCTTAAGTGGAAAAAGCCTAGCAAGAGTTCAAGCCCTGGTACTGACTCACAAAAACAAAAAGAATACATAAATAAAGCCATAAGTTTCTAAACTTTATCATTCAGAATAATTTAACACTGAAATGTGCAGAACTTTTGCAGTTCTTTTTTTTTTTTTTTTTTTTTGGTCGGTTGTGGTGCTTGAACTCAGCTTGGGTGCTGTCCTTGTGCTCTTCAGTGCAAGGTGAGCGCTTTACCACTTGAGCTATAGCGCCACTTCCAGTTTTCTAGTGGTTTATTGGAGATAAGAATCTCACGGACTTTCCTGCCCAGGCTGGCTTTGAACCTCGATCCTCAGATCTCAGCCTCCTGAGTAGCTAGGATTACAGGCGTGAGCCACCGGTGCCCAGCTTGTGCAGAACTTTTGATCTTTTGTAATAAAGTCTAGCAGATAAATCTATGGGTTTGCTCCTGTTCACAATTCTTTCTTTTCTAGACAATAAACCATTAGTAATGCTCACAGTTCCTTTGTACCTCTTCTGGAGATAACATTATTCCTTATTTGCTTAGTTGCCACATTGTTACCTCTAGTCCAGATTTTTCAGTTAAGCCGGTATTTCTAGTTGACTGATAGACATGTCTTTTGCCATAAGTCAGAATTGGCATTTTTAATCTGCTTGCTACTTTCTTAGCTCAGTTTTGTCTCACAGCAATTGAAATTGTGTTCCTTCTAGCAGCCAAGCTAGAAATCAGTGTCACTCATGACTCTTCCCCATCATTTTCAATCCGAGTAATCTAAACTCTGTCTTAAATGTCTGAATTATAACAGGCAACTTCAAAGCAAATAAAATTAATTTAATCCAAACAATTTATTTCTGTTTGGGGAAGAAAAGAAAGCCTTTAGTAAGCCTGTAACCCTAGCTACTCAGGAGGCTGAGATCTGAGGATTGCAGTTCAAAGCCAGCCAAGGCAGAAAAGTCTGAGGTTTTATCTCCAATTAACCACCAAAAAGTCAGAAGTGGAACTGTAGCTCAAGTAGTAGAACACTAGCCTTGAGCCAAGAAGCTCCGGGACAGCTGAATTCTAGCCAACACAAAAAAAGAAAGACCTTTAGTAAAGACTAGCAGGGTGTTTTATCTGAAATGACTTGGTTCAGGGGCTAGATGATTCAACTATCTCTTCTCCTTGTGTCTGCCTGTTTGTTGACCTTATTTTATCCTTATTGTATCTTAGCTTTAAGTCATGAAGATTTGTGAAATTGATAGGTAACTTTTAATTTATGTAAGTTTAAAATTGAGTTGACAATTTAAAAACTTTACCACCAAAAGTTAAAGACTATTAATATTGCATAAGTAAGTATAGAATACAGTATGGTAAAGATGTCAGTTCTCTTGAATATTGTTCTGTTTATCTATAGTCAAAAATCCCTGCATGAGTTTTTTATTAGTTGATGAACTTCACATTTTTGGAAATATCTAGTACACAAAATTAAAAGGAAAAACAATCTTGGAGGATTTAAGATTATCAAGATCTGTTATGTAATTGAGACACTGTTTTAATGATAGCAGAAAGAACAGTGAATATAGAAACAGTACACATGGGAGTTACTTGATTTACAGCAACACTAGTGCAGTGAGCAAAGATTATTCCGTGAGTAATGTTGGATTAATTGGTTATCTATATAGAGAAGAATTAATCTTGACTGCTATTTTTGTGATAGCAATCACAAAAATCTGTTTTAGATGGATTATAGATCTGAGGGTAAAGAGACCAAAAGCTTTAGCTGGGCACCAGTGGCTCATGCCTTACAATCCTAGCTACTCAGGAGGTTGAGATCTGAGGATTGAGGTTCTGAGCTAGCCCAGGCAGGAAAGTCTGTGAGACTCTTGAAAACCGGAAGTGGCGCTGTGGCTCAAGTTGTAGAGCTCTAGCCTTGACCTGAAGAGCTGAGGGACAGTGCCCAGGCCCAGAGTTCAGGCCCCATGACCAACAAAAAACAAAGCTTTTTAGAAGAAAAAGGTAGGTCACTTTTATAAGCAGATTTCTTTTTTTTCTTTTTTTTTTCCTTTTTGTCGGTCGTGGGGCTTGAACTCTGGGCCTGGGCGCTGTCCCTCAGCTTTTCAGCTCAAGGCAAGCGCTCTACCACTTGAGCTATAGCACCACTTCCGGTTTTCTGGTGGTTTATTGGAGATAGGAATTTCACGGTCTCTCCTGCTCGGGCTGGCTTTGAACCGCGATCCTCAGATCTCAGCCTCCTGAGTAGCTAGGATTACAGGCGTGAGCCACCAGCGCCCGGCTATAAGCAGATTTCTTAAGCATGACAAAGTACTGTAAAAGCTATAAATGGAGAAAGTGATAAGTATGTTGATGCATGTCTATAAATCCTAGCACTTGTGAGGTACAGGCAGGAGGACCACAAGTTCCAGGTCAGCCTAAGCTATCTAGTGTGAACTTTATTTTTTAAAACAATTCCTTTCATCAAAAGTCATTGAAAATGAGAAAATATTTTAATATGCATTTCCAATAAAGTACTCATTTCAAGAACTTAAGTACTTCAGTAAAGAAAAACTTCAGACCTTTCACAAAATATATCCAGGTAATAAGCATATGCAAAATGCTCAGCCTAATTAATTGCCAAGAAAATTCAAATTAAATCCACAATGAAAAACCATTATGCACTTTCCAAAGTAGCTTATGGGATAAAGACAAATATATGAAGAAGGCACTGGTGGCTCATGGCTATAATCCTAGTTTCCTAGGAGGCTGAGATCTGAGCATTGCAGTTCAAAGCCAGCTTGGGCATGAAAGTCTGTGACTCTATCTTTAGCTACTAGAAAATCCAATGTGGTAGAGCACTAGCCTTGAGCAAAAAAAGAGAGCTCTGGGACAGTGCCTAAGCCCCAGTTTTAAGCTCCTCAACTGACAAAAACAAAACAAAACAAAAAAATGATATGAAGGTTGGTGAGGATGCAGAGTACGTAGAACTCTCATTCACTGTTGCTGTGCATGTAAGTGTAGCCATTTAGGAAGCTACCTACTGACTCAGCATTTTCCTCTCATGGATGGATATAAGCCCAATAGAAACATACAAATTTGGCCGGGCAGTGGTAGCTCATGCCTGTAATCCTAGCTACTCAGGAGTCTGAGATCTGAGGATTGTGGTTCAAAGCAGGAAAGTTTGTGAGACTCTTATCTCCAATAAACCACCAGAAAACTGGAAAACTGGTACTGTGACTCAAGTGGTAGAGTGCTCAGCTTGAGCTGAAAAGCTGAGGGACAGCGTCTAGGCTGAGTTCAAGCCCCATGACTGACAAAAAAAAGAAAAGAAAAGAAACCATACAAGTTTGCAAGAAGACAAGTGGCAGTGCTATTTATGATAGTCAAAAGAGTGGACATTACCCTAATCTAGTCAGCGTAATGATAAAATATACAAAAGAGTAGTATACATCAGTTAAATAAATTACAGCTACATGCCACTTACATGAGTGGATCTTACAAATATAGTTTTGAGAAAACAAGCTTAAAGTGAAGAACATTGTTTATAATTCCATTTAAACAGACAAAAACAAGCTGTTTTGGTTAGTTGAGTTAGAGGAAGAGGATAGTAACTGGAAAGGGGACCGAGTATTTCTGGTCCTAGTATTTCTGGTTTCATTGCTTATTTTTTCAGACTAAATTTAAGTACTTACACAAAAGAGTTTCAATTACACAAGTCAGATTATGAGTACAATGCTTCTTGATCAATCTTCCTCCTTCAGTTTTGTTTTCTAATATTTTGTTTCTGGTTGTTCTGTTTCTAGCTTTATGAAAATATACATTGAAAATATATGTTGTTCTTGTGTTTAATAATCCTAGTGTTTTTTTCCTGAATATATAAGAAATTAAAATAATCAACTAGGGCTGGGAATGTAGCTTGTGGTAGAGTGCTTGCTTAGCCTGCAGGAAGCCCTGGGTTCAATTCCACAGTACCACATAAACTGGAAGTAACGTTGAGGCTCAAGTGGTAGAGTGCTAGCTTTGAGCAAAAGAAGCTTGGGGACAGTATCTAGGCAGTGAGCTTAAGCCCCAGGTCCTGCAAAACAAAAACTAAATCGTAGACATCTTCCAAACTCAAAGGTTTTGTAAATAAATAGTATTAAAGGGAATATAGTATAAGAGCATCGAATTTTAGAGTACTTTTGAAATAGCACAAGAATGTTTTAAAATTCTTAATTACAAAACAAATCTGATACTTAATGTCTTTAGACCTAAAGCATATAAATATATGGATACTTCAGTATTACATAGTTTCCAGGAAGTGGCACTGTAGCTCAAGTGGTAGAGCACTCGCCTTGAGCTGAAGAGCTGAGGGACAGCGCCCAGGCCCAGAGTTCAAGCCCCACGACCGACCAAAAAAAAAAAAAAAAGAGCAACAAGTATTACATAGTTTCCAGCAAAAAAAAAATGCTCTCAATCTTTTTAAAAGGAGGATGATTTTTTTTTTTGAATGATAAAAAGTTTATATATTTGGGCTGGGAAGGTGGCTCAGTGGTAGAGTGCTTGCCTTTGCATGCCTGAAGCCCTGGGTTCAATTCCTCAGCACCACATAAGCAAAAAGAAAAAAGCCGGAAGTGGCGCTGTAGCTCAAGTGGTAGAGCACTAGCCTTGAGCTGAGGAGCTGAGGGACAGTGCCCAGGCCCAGATTGCAGGCCCCACGACCAGACCCAAAAAAAAAAATTGCATTGATGATTATCGACTTTTTTTCGGTTTAAAATCCATATAAATCAAAAGGATGGCAAAGGGAACAAAAGGTCATTAGAAAGTTAAAGCAGTTAAACTGACTTTCTCACTTAATTACTCTTTTTTCTCTCTAAGCACATTTATTTGTTCAGTATCAGAAATGTCAGAAACAGCATGATATATGAAAATAGTAACTTTATTTGTTGACATAGTCTCCAACATGAGCAAAGTTTGAGTGTGATATACCCTTGATTTGTGCTAATACCCTTGATTAATGTGCTGAGAAATGGGGATCAGGGAGAGGTTCTGAGGTACCTGTTTTAGTTTTTACTGAAAAACTTGTAGCTTACTCGATATGCAGAAAAAGTCTGCATATGTCCAAACAGGAAACCCAGCCTTCTATATTTCAGAGCACATTGAAATTAATGCTTATGTTGTAGCTATTGTTATTAGGAACTTGTGTTTCTATGGCTTAGGGGTTTTCATTTCTCTAGGACTGAGAATTTAATGTATGCAGTGACAAAAAATGCAAGTGTTGTACTAGTGCTATTAGAGTTTGAACTCAGGTCTAGGTAGGCAGATGTTGTGTCATGAATCATTTCAACTGTTTTTGCTGTTAGTTTTTTTAGGATAGAGTCTCACTTTATTCGTAGGCCCAGGCTGAACTCCTATCTATGCTTCTCAGCATAGCTGTGATGAGAGGCCCTTGTCACTGCAAGTGGCAGAGAAAGCCATTATGCTTTCTTACTGACTAAATGACAAGTGTGCACCACTGTGCCCATTACTGGTTGAAATGGAGTCTCACAAAGGCCAGCCTACGCCGGCCTTGAATCACAGTCCCCCTATCTCCACCTAATACTATTTATGAAGTGGTAAAAGTATTTATTTCCTATGTACATGAAATGGTTTTAAATCTGTCCGTACCTGAAATAATCTTATAAATGGGGTAGCTACAACACTGTTAAAATGTTCATTGTTCTTAAATCTTTGTCAGATTTCTATAAGGTACTAAGAAACATCCATTTTATCTGCTCATCAAATAATCAGAATGGGCCAGTTGATGAGTACAACCTAAATTGCCGTTATCTTCCTAACATTTGATTAGGTATTTAGGAAGGCACAGAAAGCCCTCCAAGCATCTTCATTTATCTGGCAAGGTAAACTTGCTTTTTAAGGGAGGAAAAAAAGACAAGAAAGGAAAGATTTGTCCATGTGATTAAGCCTGGAAATATAGTAGGATATTTTAACTCAGAGATAATTCTTTTTCATGGCAAGTATCTCAAATATTATTTGGCTCAAACTGGAATGTCAGAAATGTAGGCTCATAAGCAAACAATCTTTAGCTGGTACCAGTGGCTTCCGCTAATAATCCTAGCTACTCAAGAGTCTGAGATCTGAGAGTCACAGTTCAAAGCCAGCTGGGGTAGGCAAGACCATTAAGTTCTTATTTCCAGTTAACCATCAGGAAACTGGAAGTGGCACTGTGGCTCAAAGTAGTAGAGCACTAGCAATAAAAGCTCAGGGCCAGCACCCATTTCAAGCCCCATGACCCAAGGATGGGCGGGGGAAGAAATAATCTTTGGCTATAAACTTGTTTTATAGGTAAATACTGTATAAAGAATCTTTGGTAATTTAAGTTTTAAGCACTTTTTTTAAAAGCTAAATTAATGTTTGGGTTTCCTCAGGTAGTAACTGCAAGGATGAAAGGAGGAGGAATATGAGTTCATACAATACATTCTTATTCCTGATGAGCATTTGTTTTTCAGTTTTATTTTCTAACAGTCCATCATTCTAACAGGGCCATAAAGGTTTAACATAAGGTTTTTTGACGTGTTTAGAAGAGTGGAAGGTTAAATTAACCACAGAAAAACTTTATTTTACTTTATTTTCCTGGAGAACTATGAAACTCCACACCTGCTTTTTGTTTTCAGACTACTCATTACTTTGACCAGTATAGAGGGATAAGGCCTAAAATTTGCTTTGTATTTCCCTTTAGTTATAAACCCAAATAAAGCCAGCAATGTCGTTTCTCTCAGTTACTCTTTCTTGGGTACGTAAATACAGTCAGGATAGTGATAACTAATTGTGTGGCTATCCTACCAAACACTTGGTATTGCTCAAAGTATTTTTAGATGATGAATGTTGATGTAAATGGAGGCAATTGACCTAACAGTGGGTTTTTTTGGAAGTCGTCTTCCAGCTTAGCTGTATCAGACAAGCTTTCTTCTCACTCCCCTGCCAAATCTACTCATCTATTAAGCATTCTAGTTTATAGTCAGCTGTAGTTATATTTTCTTTTTTTTTTTTGCTCCCCGCCTTCCTTTTCCTCTTTTTTTCGTCTTCTTTCTCTTTTTTAGAAAATTAATGGTTTCTAAACTTTTGTTGTTGTTGTTGGTCAAAGCTAGTGCTCTACCACTTGAATCACAGCACCACTTTCGGTTTTCTGGTGGTTTATTGGAGAGTCTCTGAGACTTAATTGCCTGGGCTGGCTTTGAACTGTGATCCTCAGATCTCAGTCTTCTGAGTAACTAGGATTATAGGTGTGAGCCACCAGCTCGCAGCAACTTTTTTTTTTTTTAAGAAACCTAAAGATTTATTGAATGACTTTGGCTGTGTTTAGGCAAGGTTCTACCTTCCCATTTCAAATCTGGTAATTTTGTATAGTAGCATCTTCCAGGAGGCTTTCCTTTTAACTCTAAAATCTTCTCTGGATAAACATGAATACCAAAGAAAAAGATTTGGATACTGTAATTTCATCCCAACCTTAAGGAAAGGGAATGTGAAAGCTAGGCATAGTGCCTGATACATACTTGTTACACAACATAGAGGAGACTGATGCAGGAGAGAGAAGCCTGGTTATATAGTAGTACTGCCTCAGAGAACAATGGGGTTGGAAAAAACCTGGGTTGTGCTGGGCACCAGTGGCTCATGCCTATAATCCTAGCTACCCAAGAGGCTGAGACCTAAAGATCACAGAGCTTAACCCAATGTATGGGTTCTATTCCTGAGCTTTTTTGCTCAAGGCTAGTCATCTACCACTTGAGCCATAATTCCACTTCTAGGTTTTTGGTGGTTAATTGAAGATGAGAGTTTCATAGACTTTTCCTTCATAGACTTTTTAAACTATGATCCTTAGATCTCAGACTCCTGAGTAGCTAGGATTACAGACACGAGCCACTGGCACCTAGCCAGGTTGTATTTAAAATATGGGACTTCTTAGTGTTACCAGCCACTACTCAAGCATTCAGTGCCCATCTTTGCCCTAGTATTTCTTCCAGTCCTTTATACCTCAGCAGAAAAAAAAGGTGACTTTTCAGGTCAGCAATGAGTATTAAATGCTATGACTGTTTCCTCAGTAGGAAGCCAAATGTTTGTGCAGTTTCAGGCACACTGATAGGAACCTTGAAGTTTTGGTCATAGTACTAGCTTGCTGTGGAATGCCATTACTGTACCTCTGCTGTTCTACAGTCAGAACAGTAATCAAACGATGATGGCAGTGCATGAAGCTCTTGGGTTAAGACATATTTTTATCTGTTGTCTATGCAGTTAATCACTACTTTAGCTTACTTATGTGTAAGATTTTGTAAAATATTTACAGAATAAATAAAATTGACATAAATGCAAAATATTTATATTCTTTATACCTATCTTTACAGAAAGCTTGCCAAGAATAGGTTTTTGGTTATTCAGTCAATAATTTTTTAAGTATTCACTTTGAAGTTCTGCCACAGCTTTCTTCCACAAAGACACTAAAGTGTGATGAAAAGTGTTACATTAGTGTTTTCATTTATTTTCTCATCATCTTAGGTGTCTACCAAATCAGCAAACAAATCAAAGCTCATGATGGCAGTGTATTCACACTTTGTCAGATGAGAAATGGGATGTTATTAACTGGAGGAGGAAAAGACAGAAAAATAATTTTATGGGATCATGATCTGAATCCTGAAAGAGAAATAGAGGTAAGGCTTAAAACCATTAAAGCCTCTGCACTCATGTTACAATAACGTACACTTTTCTAAAAGCTGAAACATGTTTTTGTTTCATTTCCTCTCCATAGAAAAGTTTGTTATTGTACTAAATAGTTGGTTTTTAGGTAAAATTAGTTGAAAGAATAAAAGAAAAAAACAATAAGGCAGACTGATTAATTTGCTTGTTTTACATGCTAAAGCCTTTTCTAATGACTTAAAAATATAACCACTTAACTTTAAAATTCAGCAAACAAGGCATTGAATATTGTTTCTAAGTCCCAGTGTATACTAAGTGATGGATTTAACTTTAGATCTTGAAAGTAATCTTTAAACAGTAGGCTTAATGAGAACTGATTATCTGCATTGCATTGACTTCATGATCTGAACAGGTACAATAAGCTTAGTGAAAATTTGCTAAGTAATAGGAAGTCTCAGAAAATAAAATGATTAAGTATTAAGCCGAATGCTGGTGGCTCATACCTATAATCCTAACTGCTCAGGCTGAGATCTGAGGATCGTGGTTCAAAGCCAGCAAGTCCATGAGACTTATATCTCCAGTTAACTACCAAAAAGCCAGAACTATGGCTCAGGTGGTAGAATGCTAACCTTGAGCAGAAAAGCTCATGGGTACCAAGGTCCTATATTCAAGCCCTACAAATGACCAAAAAGAGAGAGAGAGAGTAGTATTTTGTCAACAATTCTTGAGGAACATACTGCACAGTTTACTCCTAAATTTTGTTCATTTGAAATTTGAATTTATAATCAGTGTTAGAATATACTACATTAAGATGTCTGCAGGGAATTAGTTCCATAATATTTTCTCCCCCATAATGGATATAAAAATTTCTATGCTCAAGTTTCTTACTTAAAGTGGTCTACTAATTGCTTATAAACTGTACAACCTCATGTACTTAAATCATCTGTGCATTATATACAGTATCCAATAGAAATGTAAATGTTTGATAAATAGTTTTTATGCTTTATTTTTTAGGACAAGGAAACAAGTCTTATATGTACAGTATAGACAGGGGATTTTTTTTTCCTCCTATATTTTCAGTATACAATAGGTATACACTCAACTGTGTGTTGAAATAAATACAGTCCCCACAAATAAAGAAGGCCATCTGTGTGTTGTTTTCAGTTTACAAAGAAATTTTACAAGTGTTATTTTTATATCTGGGTCTTTATAGCAATCAAGATAGGCCATACCTTATTACCCATGTTACAGATAAAAGACTACTTTTCTAGTCTGAGTGATTAACTCAAAAAAGAACATCCGTAACAAAATCAAATCACATTTTTGATGTACTCTAATAGAACTTACTCTTCTTCCTTACTTTTAGCCTGTAGCTCTTGAAATTATCTAAAATGTAAATTTGAAACTAACAGCAGTGAACTGGGAGCTAGACACTGATGGTTAATGTCTTTAATCCTAATTCAGGAAGCTGAGATCTGGAAAATCAAGGTTCGAAGCTAAAAAGTTCATGATACTTCATCTCCAAAATAACCAGCAAGAAGCCTAGCTGGATACGTGGCTTAAGTAGTAGAGCACCAGCTGAGCAAGCAAAGCAAGCGTGATGCCCTGAGTTCAAATTCTGGTACTGACAAAGAAAGAAAAAGAAGCTAGGGATGTAGCTCAGTGTCTGAGTGCTTGCCTAGCATGTGGGAAACCCTAGATTCTATTCTTAGTACTATAAAAATAACGATGATTATTCAAAGAATGCTGGTTATAATTACAACTTATGTATAATGAAATGTAGTTGTAATATACACCTACCATATAATATTCAGATTTTAGAATTCTTCCATTTATTACCCCATAACTGCTGAAATGCAGCCAGTGTTCAGGTAGTCATTGATACATATTAGTAACTTGACAAATTTATTTTTTCCAGGTTCCTGATCAGTATGGCACAATTAGAGCTGTTGCAGAAGGAAAGGCAGATCAATTTTTAGTAGGCACATCACGAAACTTTATTTTGAGGGCAACATTTAATGATGGTTTCCAAATAGAAGTACAGGTAAGCTATCTGATGTCAATGATTAACAGAATAATTTTGATAATACTGTTTGATTCTTACACCAATGATATATTTCATTTTTAGGGTCATACAGATGAACTTTGGGGTCTTGCCACACATCCCTTTAAAGATTTGCTCTTGACATGTGCTCAGGACAGGCAGGTGTGCATGTGGAACTCAGCAGAACACAAGTTGGAATGGACCAGGCTTGTAGATGTGAGTGAAGCAAGATGTGTTTAATAATTTCCCCACCAAAATTCCTGTTGTAGTCAGAAACAGCAAAGAACCAAGAATTGTCTTAAACCAAATTTTTTATGGTTTGGTGAAACAGTGAGGATAATTAGGGAAGGGCTTAGTATGAAATGAGTTCAAGGTATAACATGAGCTCACTTTAAAGAAACAAGTTGGCAAAACAAAAGTTTAATGCTTTGTGAGTTTCAGTATAAAAAGCATAAAGATTTAAAATATTTATCAGGCTTAGGTTGTTATGGACCTCTCGTGGTCTTGAAGTTGGATTCAATAAGTGCTGCTCCCTAACAGACTCTCTTGTCTTCTTTTTGATTGATCTCTCACTGTTTTCTCCCTGCTCTCTCCTACCCACATATGTACCTTTCTAGCCTAAAAGGTGTATACAGGTTCTTTGCATACTCTTAAAAAACTATACAAATGTGACTATCCTTGTTATTCTGTTGCCTGGCCACGAGCTGGCTATCCTTTACCACCACCATTCTGCCAGCATGTCTCCTTCAATTTCTCAAATTGTTTATCCTCTGAATCCATGTGTGATTTCTCTTTGATTGCAATAAATGTGATCAGAATTCCATGTTTATATGAAATCAGTTATTTTCAAAATTGTGTTTCCACTGTTCCTGTAGATCTAGAGAGACTTGCTCATGTACAGCCCAACAGCTCTCTGTCTCTGTTTTAGGAACCAGGACACTGTGCAGATTTTCATCCTAGTGGCACAGTGGTGGCCATAGGAACGCACTCAGGCAGGTAGGATCTTTGAATGAGCTGAGTAATCTGAAATGGTGGGATATTTAAACTGTTACTTAATTTGATCTAGAGAATAACTCTATTACGTGACACATTTAATGAGTTTGTTGCTTTTATCAGTTATATGTATTTAATTCATTCTTTACGGAGCACCTGTCATATAATACATACAATTGTGAATATTCATGTGACATACAAAAACAAAAAAAATTTTGCCCCTGTGGATCCTTCATTTTTATGTGTGTTGAGAATGGAAGCAGTTTTTTTTTAAGGTAATTAATTGTGTTAGGAAATTTTAAGATCTATAGAAGAGGGAAGACAAATAAGTAGAGATGGAGACATTACAATTGAAAAATGATAAGCAGAGTAGGCAGACTTTATTCTTCTTTGTGATTCTCTTTAGAAATATCAGAAGATTTTTCTCTTTATTATCTTTTGTGCAGGAAAAGAATTGAAGTTGATAGAACCCAGTTGAACTTTTATGAATTATTTGTATTGTAGTTTCGTCTAGCCCATCCTCTTGAATGCTACACAGATACATAATAAAGGCATATTTCCTAAAATCATTAATAACCTGTCTTGCAGACCTATTTGGTACCTTTCCAAGGTCATTAAGTAACATATGTTTATTGTCTAATCAAATTTGGTTTTCTAGAGTTTTTTGTTTGTTTGTTTTTTTTTTTAAAGCAGGCTAAGGATGTAGCCCAGTGACAGAATGCTTGCCTAGCACATATAAGATCTCCAGATTTGAGGGTCTGGGAAGGTGGCTCAGTGGTAGAGCACTTGCCTTGCATGCCTATGGCCCTGGATTCGATTCCTCAGCACCACTAAGCAAAAGGAAAAAAGCCAGAAGTGGTGTTGTGGCTCATGTGGTAGAGCATTAGCCTTGAGCTGAAGAGCTGAGGGACAGCACCCAGACCCAGAGTTCAGGCCCCACAACCGGACCCAAAAAAAAAAGATCTCCAGATTTGATCCTCAGAATTGGGGGAAAAAAAAAGTTTTACTAGCTTTTTGTTTTGTTTTTAAAATTCAAAAATAGCAATTTTCTTATTGGCTTTTTGGATGCCAGTTTACATATGTGGATAGTGAAAACATGCAAATTTATTCTCAAATCAGAATTATAGGAAAACAAGTCTTTAACAACCAGTGAATTGTAGCAAAAAATACTTTTGTACACCTTAATACTGCTTACCAAAAACTTGATCTTATTTCATGTTCTTTATCCTGAATATTGTGGATACTTGATTCATTTTTTTCAATAATGCCACCTAGCTTCTGCTAAAGACATCCCACCTTTTGTTAACTCTACAGTTTACCCTTTAGCACTTGAATTAAGCATACTAATTTTTACTTTGGTTTTTGAACACCAGTTTGATTTTGGGGAGGCAGATTTTTACAAAACTGTTGTATTTAAGCCTTTGTGTGATCTGCTGTTTGACTGCCCTCGGTTTTGTAAAAATGTCTCCCAAAAAGCAAACTGGTATTTCATGCCTGTAATCCTAGTTTCGTAGGAAGCTGAGATCTGAGGGTGATGGTTCAAAGCCAGCCTGGTCGGGAAAGTCTGTGATTCCATCTTCAACTACTAGAAAACCAGAAGTGGACTCTGGTGGCTCAAAGTGGTAGAGTGCTAGCCTTGAGCAAAAAAAGAGGTCTGGGACAGCGCCTAGTTGAGTTTGTCCATATCAACTGAGCTGAGTAATGAGTAAACAGAATATTTTATTTTGATATTTCTTTTGCTTTTAAAAAAATATTTTTTACCAAGGTTGGTCAAAATCATATGTAGTAAATCTGCGAATAAGGGAGAACCATTCTTTTACCATGGATTTATCATCTTGATTGATAGTCTTTCATAAATGCCCTTTGTTGTGTTAAAAAAAAAAAAGCTTTCTTCTCTCTGTGAGCATGTTTAAACATGAAATGGTGTTGGATTCTATCAAATGCCTTGTCTGGTTCATTGAGATGATTTATGGTCTTGACCCTTATTACATTGCATGTTACAAAGACATTAAATCAATCTAATAAAATCCTAGGATGAAACCCAAATGGTCATAGTGTAAAATCTCTTATTTGTTATTGGACTCAGCTTTGTTCATATTTTGTTGTACCTATTCATGAACAATATTGGTCTTTAGTTTTTTTATGATTGTTTTGTCTTGTTTTGATATTAGAATAATACTGGCCCTAAGATCTTTAGTAAGGCTGGTATCTCCAAAGTTAAAATGATTTAAAGCCATGCAAATTGATAAATATTAAGATACACTAGGAATGATTGATCATTCAATGATTGATATCAAAATCTCATACTTATTTGAATCAATCATTATAATCCTTTAAATTAATTTCACTTGGTATACCACTCTAGATTTTCTCTTCTGCGGTGGGGGGGGGTTGTCAGGTCATGGGGGCCTGAACTCTGGGCCTGGATGCTGTCCCTCAGCTCTTCAGCTCAAGGCTAGCGCTCTATCACTTGAGCCACAGCGCCACTTCTGGCTTTTTTCTTTTTTTTGCTTATGTGGTGCTGAGGAATCGAACCCAGGGCATGCAAGGCAAGCGCTCTACCACTGAGCCACCTTCCCAGCCCCCCTTCTAGATTTTCATATGCAACATTTTTTTTATTTTTTACAAAATTTTCTCATAAAGCTCACAATGCATTTGAAACTATATCATTTTCTGTACTGATCAAAAATACATTCAATTTGATCTTTCCAAGACTACAGTTAATCCTGTTTCTGCCTTTTGTTTTGTTTTTTGTATGTGTGTGCTGGTCCTAGGGCTTGAACTTAGAGTATGGTTGCTGTCCCTGAACTTTTTGTGCTCAAGGCCAGCACTCACATTTGAGTCACAGCTCCACTTCTGGCTTTTTAGTAGTTTAGTGGAGATGAGTCTCAAAGACTTTTCTTGCCTGGGCTGGCTTTGAACTGCAATCCTCAGATCTCGTCCTCTAGAGTAGCTAGAATTCAGGTGTGAGCCATTGGCACCTGGCTCCTTTTTGCTTTTTTAATCTAGTTTCTCAAAATTCCACTTTCATGCCAGGTGGTTCAACATGTATAATCCTAGTTTGGAAACTGAAATTGGGAGGATCATGGTTCAAGACCAGCTTGGGCAAAAAGTACACAAGAGCCCATCTTAGCCAATAAAAACATGTGTGGCAAACACCTATCATGGGAAGCATAAACAAGAATCACAGCCCATGTGTTCACTTCGGCAACACATATACTAAAATTGGAACGATACAGAGAAGATTAGCATGGCCCCTGCGCAAGGATGACACATAAATTCATGAAGCGTTCATATTTTTTTGCTTTGTATGTCCCTCCCCCACAGTATAACCCCTGCTTTCACTATATTTGATGTCAGTATAACTTGTGGAGGAGATGAGGAAAAACAAGTCGTTTAAGGATACAGGTGGACCTGTTGCAACAATGAGAAGTACAAGTTGTCATGTCTAAAACGAGCTTTACAATGTTGGTG